CCTACTGCCACACAGGACCTCGGTTTAAACGGTCTCCACGTCCCACAGTGGACTCGAACCCGCGACATAAGGATCAACTCCTTACTTTGCGACTATAGAGCATAAGCTCTACCACTGCGCTACGCAGGCGACAATTAATAAAAGTATAGGAATCCATGTTTATACCTATTTTCATATTGAATTCATGTATATATGTACAAAGAGAGTGCATGTGACATCTCTATAAATTCTTGCATATGCGAAAAATATCCGCGAGATTGGCGTGCAGCTCAAGCTCGCGGATATAGGTCACTTGCTAGGCGATTTTTATTCCCGTAAAATAAGCATTGTATGCAGGACAGATTGGTGGCAAGTTGTGTAGTCGGTCGATATTTTAGAAAATAAGTTATGTTTCTGTTTTCTTTCAAAACATTTTTCTTATCAATTGACCTGAACATATAATTAATTTAGTGTGTTTTAAAATCATATATAACTTTTGCATAATATTCTTCAATTTTATTTATACGTTATATATTGCTTTTTATGTTGTATAAAAAGAGCAGTATTGCATTTGTTGAAACTTATAAATGTACATGTCAAGTTAGTCAATGAAATACATGTACAGACATTAACATTTTACTTATTCAAAGCTAGATTGATTTTACATAAACAATTGCCTTACCACAGACAACATAAGATGTATTAAGGAGATCTTGGAATGTTCTCCATATATTTTTGTCTTCCTGTAATAAGTTTTCTGCTTCTCTGCATGTTGATCTGATAAATTAAATGCATTATTAAGATCAGCCTGGGTGCCTCTTCAAAAATTATGGAATTCAGGTGAAATGTTGGGACTGGACTCTGTTTATTATATATGGGTGAATTCAAAAAAAATGACCACCAAACTGATTTTTTTTGGCAAAATTCAACTACTTATAACATATTTTTCGCTTATATCATCATATTGCAAATGCATTCTAGTTTAAAATCCTGAATTGGCAATAGAATAGACAATTGGATTAAAAAGTTTCAGAATTTTTATTAGTAAAACTTCTTTTGAAAAAAGAAAATATCATTACACCTTAAAAGACTTTCTGAAATACATAATCACAAGATATTATAGTTTTTTATGCTTCAAAATGGTAAAAGGGGTATAAATGATTAAATCTAGACCTTGAATGAGTATCTTCTCTTGAACATGTGACAAAAAATTGGCTTTTTGATTGTTATTTTACATTATTTTTTCAATTCTGGTTTGAAAAGTTTTAATATGAAAAAAATATGAAGTAATAAAATTCCCCAAAATTCACTTTTTTGTCCGTTCAAGTCAATTCTTTAAATCTAAGCCAAAAAAGAATTGTTATATACGAGTTCTCTTGTGAAAAATACTAGATTTTGAAGTGACCCTATGTTACATTATTGTGTTGCACTCCTGACATCTGATATGTATTTTATTTAACATTGTTTTAAAAATTATAACACACAATAACCCATTCTTACTTTGTAAATCAATTTGTCGTGTTGATATTTTTCATCGTTTACAGCAGGTCTTTCATATTTTGAAGACCTTAAAACATGATTATTTGCAAAGTGTAATATATATAAATTGTATTTAAAATATATGTGAAATGATGAAAACTATTCCCTGAATTGACTGTAAAATTTCTGTAATTTGTTGATAGACATAGTGTTTTGAACATCAAATAGTATCAAGCATTTTTTTCAACTTAATTTTTAGTAAAGATAGTTAAAAAGCATCGGTAATTATGAAGCAGTTTTGTTGCACTCCTGACTGCAGTAAAGTTGAAAATTAAAACCATAGAACACAAAAATTCATAAAGTGTTGGCAACATCAATTGGTAATGAAATTGTGCAATACTTATAGTCCAATACTTCATAATTTAAACAGATGAAAGTATTTAAAACTAGCATTTTATCTGGAATTATACCCTATTTTATGCCAAAAAACTAGCTTAAATGCATATTTAGAAGATAAAATATATTTTAAAGCATATTTTCCTTTAGAAGACAAACACAGTAACCCACCAGAAAAATTCTACTCATCATTTTTTCTTTATTTTTATTCTTATTGGATGATTTATAATTCTAACTTATTTGTTGCACTCCTGACCAAAAGCATTGGGGCCTTTAAAGTAGAATTGTGAAGTGAAAATTACATAAGAACTTGTTCTGTTGTTTCAGTGAAGTTGAGGAATTACTCGAATTTTATGACAATGTTTTAGTGTGTTTATTTTTAACGCTCATTAAAAAAATCACAAAAAAGATAAAATCACATCTGAATTGATGAAATTGAAAAAAGAAGGATTTTAATAATAAAACTGTCAATAATTTAGCATTAAATTATACAAAAAGATCATTATTAATTAATGAATACTTCTAAGCGTGAATAGAAGTCTTTTTGTCACACAACTTGAATCTTTAAAAAAATGTGTTGCACTCCTGACCATAGAAATATGGATCTGAAGCACAGACAGATCCTGTAATTGATAAATCTATTTGGTAAAAATGTTCTTTGTGTCTTTATTTTCCAAAATAAAAATCAGAAAATCATATAATGATAATAGTTTTTTCATGCTTGGGAGCAAAACATCAAATGTTGCACTCCTGGCATTTTTGGGTATGCACATATACTTGACTCTCATTCATGCTGCTTGTGATTTATATAACTTTTTAAAGTTTTAAAATGTATATCAGTTATTATTTTACACTTCCAAATTCCTTTTTGTCTTAATTTTCTATCAGAATTTTACAATTGATGTTTTTTTGGCAACACTACATTTTTTCTGTTGCACTCCTGACATGGTATAACATTTTTTTAAACATCAGCCATGACCACAACCTGATTAAACAAAAGTTATGACAGTCCACATTTAAAGCTCAATACTTTGAATATTATCAGGAAAGTCTTTATTTTCAACATGAAGCATTATTTTTTATTTCACAGATCTCCAAAAAATATTGAAATTTCAAAATGTCACAAAAAGGTGTTGCACTCCTGACAATTTTAGCATCATTTTTGGGCATAACTTTTTTGTTAATTGAGATATCAACGAGATATTTGGCAGGTGTTTAGACACTATCTAAAGACATATGCTGAGACATAGAAATTTATTTTCATTGCCTGTATTTTTAGTGTGGGTTGATAAATATGCGTTTGGTCATTTTTTTTGAATTCACCCATATAGTAAAAATGCAAGAATCTTTTTGAAATCTTCTCTGTCCCAGCTCGGTATTTAGAATGCAAAGTGCATGGTTATGTTGAGCAAGAATAACTCTTCCAAAATCGTGAAATTCATGGATCAGAAGTTTTGGTGTCAAGTAGGGATTCTATTGATTATATAGTTAAAATGCATTAATTCTTTAAGATTTTTCTTCTCTTCATTTGGGCCTCTAGGATACAAACAGAGTACAAAATTTCAAAAAGCAAAATGGAACGAGATTTGTGAAATTCTGGATCACTGTGTCAAGTGCTCTGGTTCACCTGAGAGAAGTTATTCCCCTTTGCAGGGCTCTAATTGGCGACTAATTTAGTCACCGTGGCACCTTAAATTTTTCCATAAGTTGCCAAATCGGCGACCATTTTCAATTGACTTGGCGATCGTCAAATTCCAAAACTTTAGAGATTTTTTAACATCTTTTTATTTTTTCTGAGGAAGCAGAGGAAATTATTTTTAGCAATGGACATATCGTCTTTTCTTAGTAACCTTTTTGTTTTTCTTTTAGTAAGCACACGTGCGAACAAAATTTCACGTCGCATCAGTGCACACACAGCTCAGGTAGACTAGATAAGACAATAAATGCCTCAGGTAATTGTTGGCTTCAGAAAATCGATAATTATGAAATACAGTAAATTAGGCGGGCCGGTGATGTGGTAATTAGTTTGCCAATTAAATTATCACTCATTAGAGATATCGTCTATATGTTAGTGTTAGGTCGTACTTGTACGGACAAGAATGTTAATCATGTAAACAATCCTCTATAGTAATACAGTTTTAAAGAATAATTCATGCAGTCCAAGTTTCTTGAAAAGAAATGATCGATTAAAATTTTTTGAATATTAGAGTTTTACATGCATGCTTAAGTTAAAGATGGCATTTAATTCAGATACTCTTGTAACAACTACTTTCAAAAGCAGAAGGAGCACTAGACACTCTCCTCCTGGGTCCCTATATTGATTACTATTAACTTTTAAGTTGACGCTTAAAAAATTGCCTGGCTACTAAAAATTTGCATTGGCGACTAAATTTTTTTGATTAGGCGCCAGCTGGCTCCTAAATTTTAGAGGTCACTTAGAGGCCTGCTTTGCTATTCGTCTATGATAAGTAGTATGATAATTAGTTTCTGTAAATATTGTAATTCATAGATGAAATTTAATAAAAGATTTGAGAATTTTTAATATATAATACAATAAGCACTTTCATAGTTTTTGATGGTCAGGTAAATTTGTAAATACATGTAATAGATAAATAAAAATTTGAAAAAAAAATTCTTTGTACATCATATATTCTTCAAAGTCCAAGAGAGGCCAGTATGAGAGGAATGAGAAGGGTAAATTCATTTTCTCAAGCACTATTGTATTTTTAGTCTTCATAATGATAACAAAGAAAGAGAGAGTACATGTATTATTACTGACAAGTAAATAGACCTATATGATTTACATGAATTTTTAAGAAGTAGACTAACTATTTTGTTGATACCTGGTCATCCTATTCATCTTGCTTAGGGGCAACATATCTTCCTCTCTCAGTTTAATGTCACACTTTAGTGGATCCAGTGTGACCGACAAGGCTCTTAGGCCTCTTGCTTATTTAAATGAGGGAATTCAAATCATTTTAATAAATTCATAAATTACATAAGCAAAGCAAAATGACGTCATTAAATGAAATTTGTAACAATTATTTTTCATAAAAATATTTAATATTTTTCATATGAAATAAAACTTATATTCTATGTTAAATTCTACTTACACTTTGACATCTCAATAATTATCTACTTAACAGGTAAAAAAACAAAAAGAGCAAGTGAAAGGTAAGAAATATGTAATTCATTTTTGTTCGTCTTTTAGGATTTGTATGACTTATAAAATATTAATAACTGAAAAAAAAAAAAAAAGAAAACAGTATTAATTGTCAATGTGCAATGACTTTTTTTTAGAAGTATATTTATTTCTTTATGAATTTTTTTTTTACATTTCTGATTTAATTTTTTAGTGCAATGTTATTCATCTTTTATATGTAACGTTATCATTTTTTGAATCAAGCTTACTGTGATTATGTACTTTGAACTGATAAGTTGCCAAAAAAATATCTATCTTTAACAGGAATATCTCGAGTAAGTTTGAAAATTATATTCTGACCGAATAAAGAAAATTAATGCAGTATTGCTAAAACATAGATTTATCTGGATTTTCAAGAAATTCATTAAGCTAAATTTGCAAAGAAAGCCCTGTGAAATACTTACATATCCTTGTTCTGAAGCCAGGAAAATGCTTGTTAATGATAACACTGAGTAAAAAAGGTGTCCCCAGTCATGGAAAACAACATGGAAACCTCATGTTTCCAACATGTTTCCCATGGTTTGACAATTTATGAATAGTAAAAATATATGAGGTTCATTATTAAAAATGTTTTAGAACCATTCAAAATTATTCAAATCATGGTCCTGTGGGAGTGAGAGATGAAACTATGGAGTCAACGTTTAGCACCGAACTAAAAAAGCAACACCCTAAAAAAATCCCGAGAACCATAATATACCGACATTTGAGTGTAGTATTGATAGAATCAAAATCCCTGGGGCAAGGGTGAGAGTCAATTGAGAAACAAAGTTTAACATGAGCATACACAGAGAGAGAGAGAGAGAGAGAGAGAGAGAGCAATTAAAAAGTGACCAACAACAATAGGAATTGTCATAGAACTACGAACGCTAACTCTCGATTCCTGCCTACATTTTTAACCCATTCAATTCAATATAAATGGCAAATTGGTCATTAAAACATATTTGAATGCAAAGAAGAGTTCATAAGTAATAGATTAATAATTTTCATAACAGTGTCAAAAGTCATGAAAGAACAAAACAAATAAAAACACATAACAAATATATATATATATATATATATATATATATATATATATATATATATATATATATATATATATATATATATATATATATATATATATATATATATATATATATATATATATATATATATATATATACTGTAAGTCGTTTTAATTCCACGGTGTTAAAATTCACGATTTCTCAAATAGTACCAATTGCGATGGTTTTAATTTCACACTGCAAGGAATTAATTTAAATTTCGTATAAGCACTTAAACGTTTATAAAAACTAATAATAGCATTAACGATGGGTTTAATTTCGCGGAAAAATCATAAAATGTGAACATAGTGAAATAAAAACCATCGTGATTATTTGCCAATCTACAGTTTACATAATACAAATATATATATATATATATATATATATATATATATATATATATATATATATATATATATATATATATATATATACAGCAGAAATATATTTAAGCATTGAATTCTCTCTTTTTTGGATGTCTTTTGTCATATAATAAAACATCTCCTGGCCTTGCCGAAAATCGAATACTGCGTGTTAGCGCAGTATGATAATTTGAAGGCACGGAAAAGTGCTGTTATACAACTGACGATATCCAAAAATAAGAATTTAATGCTTATATTCTCAATTTCTTATTTTCTTTTCTCATAAAGGTTAATTTCATTTATCTTTATTCTAAATTAATTGCATATTAAAACTTGTGTGCTTAATAGACATAAAAATCGTTTGGATCTGAAAAGTCAAGTAAAACAAATAGATATAGAGAGAGGAGAGATTTTAATTTTAAACGTACAATTGTTATATCTTTACAACATTAGAATAGGATTTTTAATTTTAAAAAATTGAGCCGAATCAATGTACATGTACATTTCGGTGTTTCTAGTGTATTGAAAGTGTGTGCATTTCCTTTTGTATATTATATCATCCCATGACAAGGTTTCGTATGAGAGATTTCGAAAGGATTCATGAAGAAAATTACAATGAATGTAAAAATTTCTTGAGATACAAAGATCCGTGATGTACAAAACGGAAGGGTAGGAGAATAAGAGAGCTCAATTTTTTGTTTTGTTTTGTTTTACAGGAACCTTTAAAATTTACTTCTCAAAAACTTCAAATTAATAAAGATGCAGTGTTTTATTCACACGTACATCAAATTATTATGAATTTAACTTTGTTCAAATTGCGACCCTCGAGATTAATTTTTTTTCTTACAATGTATAGAAATTTAAACCTGAAAAATTCCTATTCTTAACGATAAAAAGATGTTATAATAAATCACCCTCAATTGTAGTGTAGTTTAGTGGTAGCTCATGTTTCAAGTAGGGACCAGAAGTGGGGTGTGAAATTTAATTAGGAATATAAAAAAGAATGCATTCTCAAGAAAAGCTTATTGATCCTTTATGATTTTTTTTATTTATCATATATATGTAATGTTCAGTCTAAACACTGTACATCACAGTTGAGCCCAATCAGTTCAAAATATATTTCAATTTTTTTTAGGTCACCTGAGTCACTCGGGTGACCTATTGCTATCCGTTTTTGTCTGTCGTCGTGCGTCTTGCGTTTTGTGTTAACATTTGTTCATTTTTAGCTTCTTCTCTGAAACTGCTTAACCAATTTCAACCAAATTTGGCATATAGCGTCTATGGGTGAAGGGAAACAAAAATTGTGAATTTCATGGTCCCTGCTCCCCTGGGGCCTGAGTGGTGGGACTTAAAACACCAAAATTAATGCAATCTTTAAAAATTTTCTTCTCTACTCCTGGACATCAAGCAGTCAATCTGTTGGCATGATTGTAATAAGCATTGAACCGTCTACCGAAATTGTGAAATTCGTGGCCCCAGGGTCAGGAGTTCTAGATCTGGTACTAGGATGATTTTCGTAAATGTTGATGCGTTTGTCATCGTCAACACGCATTTATTCAACTGAAAATGGATACAATTTCTTCGATTTGGAGCTCAACTCTCACCATGGTTGCATGGTAACGAAGCAAGGGCGATAATCGTGGTATAACATAAAGCGCGCTAGTAGAGCACGTTTTCTGTAATTTATGTTAAAAATTAGTTATACATTAAATTTAATGAGTCTTCCTGGTGATGCCTTAGACTGTGAAAACCAAACTTTAGCCAGTATTTATCATTTTCACTTTCTTTTCTTGTCAGTAAACATTTTTTTCCACGAATCTGGAAGTCCTTGGGTGTTACCATTCGCTTTCGATTACCTCTGAGTTTTCCCTATACAATGATTATCTGCCCTTGCGATTTTGTAAACTTCCGTTCTTTTTAGGTTGATTTAGAGAGATGAGCTCCAAATCGAAGAAATTGTATCCGTTTTCTGTTGAATAAATGCGTGTTGACGACTGACAAATACATCAACATTTAGGAAAATCATCACTGTAGGGGACAAAACCATGATAACGAAATAAATTAATGCTTTAGAGTCCAGAAATGGGCGCTGAAGTGGGCAGGGGTATTTTTTCCAAGATGATAGCTTTCGTCCTTTGTAGAGTTTATGTATAAAGGTGTGATACGTCTTTTTTAAACGTGATTTCTCTTGACTGAAAGTGTCAGAATCTTTATTTTAACAACTTTTAAGTGTATTTATATTAGATTTAAAATTTTATTAGTTTATTTTACATTTAACAATCCGGAAGCCAAGCCCCTATGAGCAAAATTACAGCTGTGTCAAATTTATGTGAGTTTTCAAAGACCATTTGGTCTTATAAAGCTTAGGCCATGTTTAGATGCCGGTGTTCGTTCGTCTGTTCGTTTGTATGTCTGAAAATTATTTTTTTCAAAATGCTATGCCTTCATCAGTTTTGGTCCTATTTAAGTAAAACTTGTCATACAACAGGCAAAATCAATCCTGTATATCAATTTTTGAATAAAATTCGACGAACAGTGTTGCCATGGTTACTAATTTACAATTTTTAAAAAAATCTATGAAATTCTTTTAAACCGCTTCTACAGTTTTGGTGGAATATTACTAAAACTTGGTATATTTATAAAGAAAGATTTTTTTTTTCTTGTTTTTCATTAATTTATACATGTATATATATATTTTTTTATCCAACTCTTGTGTTCCTATAGCTAAGCTTTGTGAAATCAATCAATGATTAATTAAGCTTCAAGAGAGTCCAACACGCCCTTATGATTTTCAATCACATTTTGCTTTCGTGGAGATTCCTCCATGGTTAAATTTTCAGATGTGGAGAACCCTGGTTATTCCCCTTTTTTACATTCACCTTTGATAATTAATCACTGTAAATAATGTATTTGAAAGGTTAATAGAATAAGAGATTTATGCAAGAACATATATTGTATAATACAAAAAAGTACATTGATTTCATAGTTTTAATGATCAGGTAGACTTGGAAATTATAGATGAATAAAAATGAGACAAAAATAACTTATCTTTTTAGGTCACCTTAGTCACTCAGGTGACCTATTGCTATCTGTTTTCGTCCGTTGTCGTGCGGGCGTGCGGGTGTGCATCGTGCGTAAACTTTTCACATTTTCGACTTCTCAAGATCCACTAGGCCAATTTCCAACAAACTTGCCACAAACTATCCTTGGATAAAGATGATTCAAGTTTGTTCAAATGAAGGGCCACGTCTTCTTCCTAGGGGAGATAATTAAGAATTAGTGAAAAATTAATGGTATCTTTAAAAATCTTCTTCTCAAGAACCACTGGACCAGGTAAGATGAAATTTATATGGAAACATCCTCAGGTAGTGTAGACTCAAATTTGTTCAAATCATAACCCCCCGGGGGTAGGGTGGGGCCACAATGGAGGATCAAAGTTTTACATAGAAATATATAGGAAAAATCTTTTAAAATCTTCTTCTCAAGAAAAGCAAAGCCATGATGAGTCATATTTATATGGAAGCATACTCAGGTAGTGTAGATTCAAGTTTTTTTTTCAAATCATGA